AGACGCGAGAAATGGAGACAAGACAGGATTCTGATCAAGTCTTGTTTATTCAGGGGAGGTGCTGGGTATATATAGTGGAGGCATAGGGAAATGACCTCGGTGGGTAAAAGGCGCGGGTAACTAGGAAACCGGGCTATGACAGGAAGCCCCACCTCCGGGGAATAACAGGAGACTTATGGGAAATAGGCGGGGTAAGAAGAATTAGGAGCTTAGCTCAGCAGAGGTAGGGGAAGAGGAACTCGGAAACCCACTTGCAGTAGGATTGGAGGCCTGGAGTTATTGAGCCTCCCACACCCATGATAACTGACCCACTCCTGTGAAAGTGCCATTAATCCATCTGTGAGCGCAAAGTACTCATGACTGACTCATCTCAGAATTCCACCTCTCGACACTGCACGTACTAGCTGCTGAATGTTAATGTGAATTTTAGAGATATTCCGACATTGTTGGGGGGGGGGTAGGAAACAGTTGAGGATATAGGCATGATTATGTAATCACAGTATTGAGAATGTAATTTGTGCTACATAATTGTATACTTCAGAGTGGTTAAAATTAGGCACCCTTGTAAGGTGTCTGTTTGTATTAATTATGTCATTTCCTCACTGTAGATATTTTCCTCTGCTAAAAGTACTACTTCACCTTACACTATTGTATAGCATCAGTGTAAAGGGAATGGGTATGTTACTTAATTAGCTTATGATAATTATTTCACAATGTGTGTATATATGTATAAGTCAGTTGTGTATCTTAAATGTATATATTTTTGTGCATCAATGATGTTTCAATAATTTTTTTAGTTAATTTTAGGAAATAAAAAGGGAGGAAACTCTATTTTGATTCTTAAAGTCTTGTCATCAGCCCCTTGTAGTTTATGCATCATTTGCCCTAAAAGCAATTATAGTTTCTCTCTAATAAATTTTTAGATAACATATGTGCATTTATGTCATTTCTTTACAAATCATTTTTGCTGCTTTTTCCATCAACAGACATTTTGTGCTGAGAGAAAGAATTAAGTTGATAATATATCCATTGAAGAAATATTTCTTAAAATAGTTTCACAAGTCAGGTATAAGTTATCTAGCTAATCATCTCACAGCCATCTCAGTGGAGGGCTTATACTCATTTTTCAGATGCAGGTACTGAATCTCGAGTTTAAATATTGTGACATCACTGTTTGGAGCCCCTAAATCTAAAATTGATCATATGTAGGAGAGCAAAATGAGGCCTCATTGCCTAAAAGAGTCAAGTTACCTCAATTTAAAAAAAAAAAAAAAAAAAGATTTCATCCCTGGGCCTGCTGTGCCAGCCTCGCCCCCGGAGTGCGCTATAACAGCAATTGAGATTGGTTGTAATCTTAGCCCTTAGGAGGATGTAAAAAGGCAGATCACTGAGTCTGATCTAGTGGTGAGACTATGAACACCTTGTAAACCCTTCCCTGAAATACAAAAGAAAAAGAAAATCCTACCTAGATCTTGTGGGCTATTAGTTGCTAGACAATCTGTGTCTTAAAACTTTGTTAAAGTATAAATAAAGGCCATTATTACTGTTCAGGGAGTCATCGCTCCAGGTTGACAAGCCACCACCCAACCCAAATGGACACCAAGTATGAGATAAGTGTGGGTCGCATGTGTAGAGTGGAGCTAAGGAAGAGAGCTAGTATTTGAGTCTATGTGTTTGAGATGTCACCTTCACAGTTGCTGTTAACCACTGTGTTATAAAGGTATCTGTGAGTCCCATAAAGAATTTAAGTGTATAGTTAGGAGTTAGGAAAATAGGTACACCTTGAGATCATAATGTTAAGCAAAATAAATCTCATGCTCAAGCTTAAATACCACATGGTTGCTCTTACTTGAGAAACCCAAAGTATAAATGAAAAACAAAATAAAAGGTAGACAATACAACGTAAGGAAATAGATCTTGGAGTCTCTGGTTCTGTAACTTGAGGGATAAGTTGGGAAATGGGAGACTAGGAATGGCAGACTAACCAAACTGTAGCTATAGTTCTAGTTATTTCTGTAAATCATAAGGCTCTATAATAGTGTAAATGTATGACTGACTCAAAAGGCCCAACAAGGAGTACATAAGAATGGAGCAGAATCCAAACCCTTCGTTGCTCAGAGAAACCATGGACTTTGTATTCAGCACTTCTTGAGTCCTGGTCTCAGCTTAGCTGTTGAATCTCAGTGGTGAACGTAGTTGGTTTTTCTAACCTCTCTAATTCAATTTAAAAACTGGTGAAATGTGGCTAATAACATGAGTCCAGAGGATTACACCCACCAAGCCCTTTCTCTTCCCAATGAAAGAGAAAGGGAGAGAGAACAGGAATTAAATCTTACTTTAATTGTACTGTGAAAGGAACATAATTGAAAACATACTCAATGGAATTGAGGTCTTTATTCAAATTACTTTTATCTTATATCTGTTATTTAGTATATTATTTAATATGTGATAGCTATATAGTACTGGGTCTACTTTCTAGTCATTAGGTGATTACTATTTCTGATAATATCTATATAGAGTATGATTGTTGTTGAAATGATTTATTAAAGACCTAGTAAGTTCTGAGTCTCTGATCTCTCATCTGAAAATGAGAAGAATGTGGAAGACTATAGAAGTTTATGGATACAATTTAAGGTGGTACTACTGCTACTTATAAAGCAATTTTAAGAATGTCTGGTACCTTACAAATGCTTTATAGAAAAATGGTTGTCTAAATGAATAAGCCAGTCCTATTACTCAGGTGTAGTTTTTTCAAGTAGATCATGATTTTATTCAGGGTGTAAACAGACTGCTGCTTTGAAATAGTAATTGCAGATTCATTCCTGTGCAAGGAAGCTCAAAAGTTGTCTTGTGTTACCACATACAATAGAATTAATTACAGCCTTTCAAGAAGAAATTTTACAAACATTACATTGTCAGTTTAGCTTATGTACACTCTTTACATTTACTTCTTGTTGAACCATTGGTGAAACCTGACATATTTATAGTTTTAATCAATTGAAAATTTCCACTAGCTTGACGTGCCATAATAATTTTTAAAGAAAATATTAGCTCTAAATTGTCTCTGAAAATTTTATTCTTTTTTTATTTTCCAGTAATTCTTGTTATTTGTATTGTGCTTACCTTCTTCAAGCTTAAAATAACCATATATATAATTCTTAAGTCTAATTATTTACCTCTTACAATACTTTGTGCATTTTCAATAGCTAAACCACTGTTTCTGATCCTCTAAAATTGTATTTATCTTGACTCCCGTGGAATACAGAGTTAAAGTTTCAGTTATTATTTATGAAGGCTACTCATTTGTGAGCTGCCTTTCAAAACTCATGTGATACAAATTCTGTATCATATCATGATTTGTATCATAGTTTGGATTTGTTTTTAAGGAAAAACATCTTTCATGTAATTTTTCTTATTCTTTTGAAAAACAGATGAATTGTAACATAATTAAAAGCAGAAATAATAATTTATTTTAACTTGACTTGTACTTTTGATCACTTACTCTCTGGATAGAGTGCTTCCCTGAAAAAATATTTTAAATCAGAACAACTTTGAAAGATATGAATTGGTTTTAAAATATGGCAGTTTAGAGTAGGTTCATACTGAAAGGAGGTTTAGATAGTTCCAGCAGGTTGGAAGTGACTGAAGCTCAACATCAATCACAGATGTAGGGCTAAGACAAAACTAGCCCAAGAACACCAGGACCTCATTGAGCCTTGTGAACAAGTTGTTCTTGCTTGCAAGGTGGTTGCTAGACAGAAAGGTTGAAATTGACATCATTCTTCCAAAAGTATAAGTAAAGACCCCTAGGTGATTATCCAGTGCTCTTTTTTCATCTGGCAAGAGACGTCTACCTGACCTCAGCTCTTGTCTCTTGTGTTTTTTACTAAATCCCCTGGCCAGTTCTCCCCAAAACCACCAAAAGCCATGCCAGTTCTCCACAGTAATATTCTAAATATGAGAAAGTATCACTAATTGAATGAGAAACCCGTGTGACTGGTATTATATTTCCTAGTTTTGTTTTTATATCAGAGCATGGCTCCAATAGTCACCTTGTCCTTCTGGAGATATTGAGACTATAAAAATCTTAATTTTCAGAGGCCGGGGAAATGGCTCAGTGGAATAAGCACTCCCCTGGCAAGCGCAAGGGGCTGAGTTCAATTCCTGGTTCTGGGGAGGGAAGAAAAAACTAATTTTCTTACAAAGTTCCATTTACACCATGATAGGTGCTTTTTTTTTTCTTTACCATGTTGGAATAAAATAAACTATATCCTTTAGCACTAGCTATTATATACCATTCTATTGACTGATTTTATACATTAGTTTTATGAAATTATAAAGATTGGGGGCAATATGAACTACTTTGTGCTTTATTACAAACAACTTATTATAATAGTTGATTATCAAGCAAACATTTATTTATTCATTATTTAATACAAGGTCTTGCAATGCAGCTTGGACTCGTAGTGATCCTCCTGTCTCAGCTTCCCCACAGCCAGGATTACAGACATGGCCCACCACATCTGGTCTTGGTGGCCGGCTCGGCACCCAGGGCCCAGCATGACATGTAGTACTGGGGATCAAACTCAGATCAGCTTTGTGCTTGCCAGGCAGGTGCTTAGGCCACTGATCTGTCTCCCCACTCCCAACATTTTGTTTTTCTTAGTGTGATTTGATAGTGTCTGTCTTGTCTAATAATCATTCCAAACCTAATTTTGGAGAATGACACTTTATCATTTTGTGATTAATTTTGCAGTGGTGTAATTATTCTTAATTTAGATGACATTGCATGTACTTTGCTGAACTCAAGTCACTAAAATATATCTGTGGTGAATAGAGAAAGTAGAATTCACTGATTTTGGTCCCTACACCTATATTTTAAGCAAACTTATAAAGATTATATCCTACAATTTATTCCTCAATTTGTCATGAAAAAAATTGTGTCAGCTGATCTCTTTGTCTTAAAGCCATAATCATAATTCAGTTATTTTTTCCTGTAGCATCAGAGACTCCTTGAAATGCTAGATACAGAGAAAGAACTGTTAAAGGAAAAAATAACAGAAGCCTTAGTTCAGCAATCTCAAGAACAGAAGGTAATATTTAAATATGCTTAATGTGAATGCATATATTTTGTTACCTCAAATAATACATTTACTGTCTTTCTAAATATCTTATTATTTACAGGAGATATTAGAAAAATGTTTGGAAGAAGAAAGGCAAAAAAATAAGGAGGCATTAGTATCTGCTGCAAAGGTATTTTCATATGCAATAATGGGTTCCTTTGTAAGTACAGTTAAATACTGAGTTCATTAATATTACCAGTCTACTTTTCTGTATTTTAATCCTGAAACTCAAGGGTTTTTATTTTTTACTGTTCTTTTTTAATTTATGATGTGACTATTTATGGTCTTGCTAAGTTCATATTATCTGAGATTTTGATGGCATTGTATCCCTTATAATATAGAGAACCATATATATATATATATATATATATATATATGGACACTAATATGTAATAATGTATATTATCTATGTGTAAATCAAAATGATTTTAAAAAGCCAATTGTAAAGGTGACTCATTTAACTCACAGCATCAGGGGCTAGATGTAGGGAAGAAACAATTAAGAGAAAAAAAATGAAGGAAAGCTTGATTCAGCAGCCTCAAGAATAGACGATATCTTCAAACCCAGTGGTCATAGGTGAAGTGTGGGGAGGGGCTTTGTATCAGAAGTAGCTTTTTCCTGGATTTACTAGTACAAAATCTCAATAACCTGTAAGTTACAACTCAACCATTCAAGTACTTATAAACAAATAATTCTGGTTAATTTCCAAAATACCAAGAGTTCCGTTTCTCTTTTGGCAATGACTACTTTTATTTTTTTACTTGTTCTCACTGTTTTTTTTTTTAATTGAGAAACAAATATCAATGAGACAGTTTCAAAACTGATTACTAGGACAGTTTCAACAATTAATACATTGTACAATGTTATCTTCTTAGTGGTTATCCATAGTACAAGATGCAGACAGAATATCCTGTCCGCACACTATTAGTACAAATCTTTCCTCTCGTTGAATTAAAAAAAAAAGTAGCTGTATATCTATGCTAACTATTCTGCATATACTGACACAACAAAATGGTCCTTCCTTTGTACCCCTTTTTTTGTTTAGTCCTTTCAGAAATGGTTAGTCCATTGGCGTCTAAATACTATAGGTGTGTGAATTCAGCAAAACAATACAACACAGTCCAGCAGTCCACAATAGTAGTGAGTTATCCACAGAAATTGTTGACTTGAGCCTTTCACAACTCAGCATATTAATGTGACTTTACTTTATATACCTTGGTTTTATACTTTTCTGCTGAATGGTTAAGAACAACATAAAGCAAGACCCATATCACAAGAAATGTAACTTTTGTATCTGATAAAGTCAGTCAAGTACCCTCAGGATTTATCCTGTAATTCTATACTGCACTTTGCAGATCCTTTGTCAGTGTCAGTCATGTGGATGAATCACAGCCATTGCTTGACCAATTTGCTCTCTGTGAAAGCCCAAGAGAATATTTTCTCTCCATGTGACTCTCCTTAGGCACACTCTATATCATGTCACATTCCTCTGTGGCCCCATAATCTCCTTGATCAGAAAAATTGGGACACAACTGACAGTATAGGTTCTCCTATGTTCTGAGTCTTTACTGACCTTGAAAGGCTATGGTCAAAATACTGGCTGTCTTTGCAACCCTTCTAGTTCTCTAATTTTTGGTCTTCAAACTTAAGTTATTACCCTCCAGAAGAGAAGCTTTTTATTACCTTATAACATATGCAGTTGGGTTTAACTTCACTATCTATCTGAATATCAAACATCTTAGGCATAACATGGAACAGGTATTTGCCATCAAAGTATTGATATGTTAAAGATTAAGTCCCAAAAAATATGGAGATAAAAATTAAAAAATAAAAAATATTTAAGGAATATGAATCAACAATTACATATTTTTACACAGAAATTTAAAAATCTACCATATACAGCATTGTAGCAGGATGTGTTGTTTTTAAAGAGTGGACAAAAATTAAAAATCTAGAGCTTTTATTATTTCTACATGCAACAAACACAAAAAGTCAACCAATTAAAAGAAAGGAGTGAGAAAAGGGGCAGATAAGAAATGAATAAAACATTTCAGAGCTCCGGCCAAATAGCTCAGCAGATTAAAGCACCTGTAAACTCTTTAATCCCTGAGCTTGCAGTGCCCGGCCCACCTCTGGGGTACACTGAGACAGCAAGTGGGACTGGGCGTGGTGGTGTGCACCTTTAATCCCAATTCTTGGGTAGTTGTAAAAAGGCAGATCACTATGAGTCCGATCTAGTAGTGAATCCCTAAACACCCTGTAGACCATTCCCTAAAAAATGAAAAAAAAAAAAAAAATCAGCAATAATATGGTAATTAACTTTGTGAATTAGACTGATCAGTGAGCACAAAGTGAAGATACATTTAGTAACCATTTGCTTTCTAATTTGGGCTTTCTCAAAAGAGTAATTTCTAAGTAGTACAGTAGCACAAAGACAGAAGAAATAAGTAAAATTTACAATTTAAATTTCACTGCAATATTCTTGCAATGTAATATGTAAGACCATAGTAAATGCCTAACGACATCAAGACAAGGTTGTCTGCACATCCTTTAGGAGGGATTAGTACTAGAATGTCTTCCAAAACAATGTGATTGTATCTTTTTTTTTAATCAAACTTAGAGGTCAGAAAATGAAAGAATAAAGTTATGGTTTGTGTTGATTAAAAAAAAAAAATAGAAGGTTGCTCCCCAGCTGGGGAGATGGCTCAGTGGAATAAGTGCTTGTCTGGCAAGCACAGAGGCATGAGTTCAATCCCCGGTTCGGACAAAAAAACAAAACAAAAAAAAATTTCTTTAGGGGCTGAGGACATAGCTCAGTATAAGTGCTTGCCTGGCAAGGGCAAAGGCCTGAGTTCAATCCCCAGTTCCAGAAAAAAAAAAAAAAAAAAAAAAAAAAAAAGGTTTCTCACCATGGGTACATATATTTAGAGCTGGCAAATATAAAACTAACTTATAAGTGATAAATTACAATTAAAGTTAATGAACAAATACAGAATTTTTGCTTCATATGTACATATCACGAAGCTAGAACTAGAAACCCAAGAATGAACAAAATTTTTCTTTTTCTTAAAGGAATTATAATTCAATAAGAAGAAATGTTAAACCAGAATAATACAAGGAGAAATGATTATGAATCTGTAGATATTATTTCCATGCCATTTAAATGACAGATTATTGTTAAAATTAGCCTTGAAGGGGTACTGCACTTCTGACTTGTATTTGAATTAATTCCAAAGCTAAGGAAGACTTCTTAAAAATTCTTAGAATAGGTGGGTCTTATTGATACTAATTTTGGGGAAATTTGTGATAACAAGAACTAGAAATAAGGTAAAAATCAATAGGCTGCATCTGAAAGTTGAATAAGAGCGGTGAGTTTTAAAAGAGACTAATGTTGCTAAGTTAGAAATAAAAAAATGGGCACATTCTGGAAATGCAAAATGAAATCAGCATGTACATTTACTCTGAGTGATATAAAAAAGACAAAAATGTCAATCATAAGTCAGTATATCTCAATTATAACCATCATGTCAATGGACTCAATTCACCAAATAAAAGAAATAGACTGGCAGTGGATCGGGAAACAAAATCCAACAATATGCTGTATACAAGAAACACATTTAACTCATAAAGTCATTCAAGGCTGAAAGTCAAAGGATGGAAAGCAATATTATATGCCCCAGCACCTCAGAAAAAAGCAGGGGTAGCAATTCAGTTCCCAGACAGTCTCAACTTCAAACCAAGAATGATCAAATGAAAGAAAGAAGGCCACTAAAGACTGGTTAGTGGAAAAACTCAAGAGGAAGAGGTAACACTCATAAATATGTGTGCACCAAACAGGGGAGCACCCAATGATATCAGACAAATCTTAGTAGACATGAAAAATCTAATGCACAATAACACAGTCTTAACAGGAGACCTTAACACCCCCTTATCCCAAAATAATAGGTCAAGCAGACAAATAATGAGCAAAGAAGAAGCAGAACTGAACCAGAACTTGGAACAAATTGACATAGTGGACATTTTAGAGTGTTCCACCCAATCATAGCTGAATACACATTTTTTTTCAGCTGCATATGTGTCATTTTCTAAAATAGACCACATACTAGTCCATAGGTCATGCGTAAATATATGCAAGAAAACAAAAATTATCTCCTGCGTATTACATGACCACAGTGCAATGAAACTGGAAATAAACGATGAAAGAAACCAGAAAAAAAAAACATAAATACATGGAAATTAAAGAACTCCCTACTCAGCAACCAATGGGTCACAGATGAAATTAAACAGGAAATTGAACAATATCTACAATTCCATGAAAATTCAAGCACAATTTATCAGAATTTATGGGATGTGATGAAAGCAGTTCGTACAGGGAAATTTATCACTGTGAACTCACACATTAGGATAACAGAACAGAAACAAATAAATACCCTAATCTAGCAAAGGAAGAGCAAACCAAACCCAAATCCCAAAGATTGGAAAATCATAAAGATTAGAGCAGAAATTAATTCAATCAAGACAAAGAAAACAATTCAGAGAATTAATAAAAAAGCTGGTTGTTTGAAAGATTAAAATAAAATTATTAAGTTCCTAGCTACCTCAGCAAAAAGAGAAAGAAAAAAATTCAAATACAAGCAATAAGAAATGAAAAGGGTATAATTACCACAGACCCAGTGGAAATTCAGAAGATCATCAGTACCTACTTTGAAAATCCTTACTCTCACAGAATAAAAGACACAGAAGAAATGGGCAGATTCCTAGAAAGGTATAAACTAACAAAATGGAATCAAGAAGATATGAGAACTCTAAATAATGTAGTAACAGCCAATGAAATTCAAAATTCAAAGGAAAGTCCAGGTCCTGATGTATTCACAACTGAATTCTACAAGAAATTCACAGAAGATATAATCAGTATACTCCTCAAACTCTTCAATTAAATTGAAAAGGAAGCAATCCTCTGAAAATCGTTCCTGGAGGCAAGTATTATACTGCCAAAATCAGGGAAAGAGACAACTACAGGGCAATTTTCCTCATGAACATAAATGCAAAAATCCTCAATAAAATCCTAGCTATAGAATAAAGCAAATCATTTTTTGAAGATTATACACTATGACCAGGTAGGTTTCATCC